CAAGGAGAGGATGAAATCTTTCATGTTGATTTGCTTGATGATATGATCTATGTTCTTGCATTGAAGCTCATGTTATGTTCTTTCTAAGAAAGCTTAAAATAAATAAATAAATAAATAAAAACTAGAATTTGTCTCTGTTGTGAAAGAAGTAAACTAAGAGTCCCTTTTCCTGATAACTTTTGCAAATATGTAAAAAGATTAAGGCTAAGGAATCCCTTTTTACTTTCTAAATGATGGTGATTGTAGAATTTCATAATAAAAAAAAATTATGTATTATATAGTATTTGTATGCTTTTACAAAGTTGTGAAGTAAAAATGTTAATAGTGTTGCTTTAGGTATTAGGGAATCTTAGAGTGAAAGTTTCATGAAAGAGGCCTATTTGAAATAAGTAGTATTATGTGAAAGCACACCAGGTAAGTGGATAGTGTCCCGATTGATATTTCAATAAAATTTTCTTTATTAAAATATTACATTTTTATGCAAATTCTTTTTATGATAACAATGTGATTATGAGATATTTTGTTGATTAAATTACTTTATTTCATGAAATTATTTTACCAGAATTGATCATTTTAGTTAATCAGTAAATACAAGTTTGAATTCTAATTGTAGGATTTCATTCTGAAAATTATTGAATTGCTACGAAAAAACAACTCATGCGAGTTTGACATTGAAAAGGAAAATTTGATTGAATAATGATCAATTTCTCGCATGTTTGAAATTGAATTTGAAAGAGCCTTTATATAGAACATTGGTTTCTAACGGCAGTTTCGTTAGCCCTTGGCACGCCATGGTACACCTAGCTAGTAGGGTGTTCATAGGAGGTGCTAGCCCCATGCAATGGCTAACACACGTGGAATGGAGGGATGGTTATTCGTGAGCATCGTACTCACGTTTGTTTTATGGCTTCAAGCCGCATTTGATTAGCATTACCCTCATGGACTGTGTCCATGTTTGTTTCGTGGCTTCAAGCTGTGTTTGGTTACTTACCCTCGTGGACTGTGTGTCCACGTTTGTATTCAGGGATAAGCCATGTTCGGTTATTTACCCTTATAGACTGTGTGTCCACGTTTGTTTATTATTTGATAAGTCCCTAAAAATTTGTGAATTTGATTATTTTATATTCCATTGGTTTTATCTAGTAAATTATTTACAACCATTTATTTCATTTATGTGCTTTCTGAAAATCAAGTGATAACACTACTATAAAAAAGGAAATAAATGATGGTTATTTTAGTTCATAAATGATGGTTAATAAGTGTCATTTATTCAGCTAACATTTAAAGACCCCCAATAAATGACAGTTATAAAGCCATCACTTAAAATAAAATTTTTACAAAGGGAGAAGCAAATTGAGAATTTAAATGAAGGGTAAATGATATACCCGTCATTTATAATTACTTTAAATGACGGGTATATAATTTACCCATCATTTAAAGTATGATAAAAATTATAACCATATTTTAAATGATAGGTAAATGGGATACCCATCATTTAAAGTCAGTATCAATGACGGTCATTTTTTTTACCCGTCATTTATTTCAGTATAAATGACGGTTATTTATATAATCGTTATTTTTTATGTAGTTTTTTTTAATTCGTGAGCTGTTTTTATACCAGCCCCCCTGTAAAAAGAAATCAAAATAGTAGCAACCAACCATTCCAGATTTGAATATCAATGAAATTTATTGTATTTAATTTCAAAATTAATCAATAAACAAATGTAATTACATAAAGTAAACTTTTTCCAAAAATAAACTACCTATTAAAAAAAACTTCCTAGCTACTTCTTCAAGGTAGTTCTATTAATCTTCTTTGTATGAGGTTCACACTTGGAAAATATATTGACACCATTCTTCAATTACCTCATTTATTTTTGCATCCCCGAATTCTTCAACATAAGAATTATCATAGTACTGCAATATATAAATGGTTCAACATATATTAATATAATTTTAATACATTAAATATTTTTGTAATTTAAAAGTTAACATTTTTGACATACCATCTCAAGAATTATGCTCTCATTATGGATAATGATGTCCTTCATGAACCTCATGATGCAATAGCCACAATCCAAGCTATTTTTCTTTTGTCTTGGACACTAAAAATTAAAGAATATATGAATATGTATTAATGCATTAAGTTTTAATTTAATAAATGATTCCAATTATCTTAATTATATTTCAAGTGTAGGCCGCATCAAAATTTATAAAAGACCTTGAAATTGATTGTTTTGTGTTAGTGCGATATAACACAATCGCCCTAATGAAATAATAAAAAATATGTTAGTATGAAATTTAAATAATTAAATAAATATGTAAAATACTTTATGCACTTACGTATTAATCAACTCCAATAAAATTTGTCTCCTCCCTGGTTCCCCTCCAAGAGAATCGAGATAATATATCTTTGGAGTGTTGCCAAATGGTTCGGCGGTGATCAACATCCAATGGTCCCTAATAGTATTAACAAGTGTGGCAAAATTATAATTAATCCATTAAAATAAAAATAAAAAATTATTAAGATAAGTGAGAATTTTGTTACCCTTGACAGTATGGTATTATGAAATTGACTACTCTACATATAATATAGAGTAATTAATGAATCATGAGTCACAATTCATAAGCATTCACATACTCCTTCAACCGCCGATAAAAAATTCAGCAGCATAATAACATAAAAAAAGTATTTCTCAGGCTAAAACCCTCTTTTCATTCTTGGCATCTTACTCAACAAACTAATTCCAACTATATACAATCACAAAACCAACAAAATTCTCACAAAATAGCATTTTCAAATTAACTCTAATTATTATAAAATTATATATAAAATTCGTTCAAAATTCATAGAAAAAAGAAAAACACTATAAACATCATTTTGAATCAATGTTTTCTGTCTCATTGATCATTCTAACATTACACATATCCTATATTAGCAATCTCAAGCCAAGAATAAATCATTCTTTACCAAATGTAAAAATATCAATAAAATAGCAATGATTTTTACAGAAACCGCACGTCAGTTTTTGTCACTAAAATGAACTCCAATTGTAATGAAAATTGGTACACTAGTACATTTCAATATGTAGTTTTGAACGATAAAACTACTCTGATCAAAAAATGCACGAAATTTAAATTAAAAATTATTGAAATAAATTGGTCAAAATTCGTAGAAAAATACAATCATCACAAATATCCCATTTTGATCACTAATTTTCATCTTAATAATCATCCTAAGGCAAAGAAAATCATCTACAATCATTCTCAAGTCAATAAAACACCAAACATTAGCAATTTTCAACACCCTACAATATCAAAATGGGCAAAAAATGAGGAGATATTTAAACAACAAAAATCAACTAATAAAACAACCCATAATCTTAAATAAATCAATCCTATAATCTAGAAATCCAAGCATATTGGAAGAAAATGAAGAAAAATCATAGAAATCACAAACTCATGTACCTTAGAGAAGAGAGGATGAAACACAAAGAGGAAGCCAATGAGAGAGGAACCGGATGGTGTAGGAGGAGCACTTTCATGCCGGTGAGGGACTAAGGTGGTCGACGGCAACAATGGAGGCTGATTGAGAGATTTCTATCAATTTCTTGTAGAAGAGGAGAAGAGAGAAAACAGGGATGACGAACGGGTGGGAATGAAAAAATGAACCTAAAAACTAAATAAAAATGAGAAAAATGACAGGTATTCATATACCCGTCATTTATTCCATAATATATAACGGGTGTTTTAACACCCATCATATATAAGAAAGGCTTTAAATGACGGTTGTTTAAAACTTTTTTAAATAAGGAAAATCAAACGTTGGCCATGAATATATGACGGGTGTTTGACAAACCCGTCATATATAGTTCTGGACTTTAAACGACGGGTGTTTTAAACACCCGTCATTTAAAGTTTTAATTTTTTTTTATTTTAAGAATCTAAAATGACAGGCACTAATATATGACGGTTTTTTTTATAACCATCATATATTGTTTAAACTTTATATGACGGCTATTTAAAATACCCGTCATTTAAAGTTCAAATTTATTTTTTATTTTTTTTCTAGTAAATGAAATGTTGGGCTGAAATAAATGACAGGGTTTTTTAATACCCATCATTTAAAGTCTAGTAATATATGACGATTTTTTTAAGACCCGTCATTTATTTTGTCACCATCACCCGCCTATCTCATATATGACGTGGTTTTATTTGACCGCATTTTTCATGGCGTCTTATATTTATATTTTTGTAGTAGTGTAAAACATTTGTTATGATAGTTCAATTGTTTAAGACTTTATTTAAAATTTTATAGAGTCATTTTATTTTAAAGTTTATTAAATTTTTATGGAAATTGTTGTCTATTTGACTTACATAATTATTTCAAACTTTCCTTTTTAATCATGTTCAATTATTTATTGTTGGGATGTTATTCATTGAAAAATATTTTATTTAGTCTCAGACACCAAAGCTAATTTCGTACTCCCTACTAATCTCTGATGGTCTCATTGTTGAATTGACTAGAAGATTACTTTTGAGAATATCATCTTATTCATGTAAAATTCAAAAACCTATATAGTATCTTTTGGAAGTTCTATTTAGAGAGCTCCACATTAACTATAGTTAGGGTCCTACCTCTTTTTGTTATGTTAATTATTTGCCGCTAAGGAGCAAAGCTTTATATTGTTAGATATATGTTGTAAGTTTTCTGTTGAAGAGATTTCAGTAGATCCTACCTTTAGGGGTGGTGTTGCAAAAATTTTATAAAAAGTTTGATGTTTTGATTCATGTGAAAAGTAAAACTTGATACATTAATTTAGAAATTTTCTTAATTGAAGCTTTAGGAATGTGAATTTGTACATATATTTCATGTCAGTCATGTTAAAATTTTAGGATGTGACAGAAGGAAAATAAGAAATTAAATCACAAAGGATAAAAATTGTCACCTGATTATTTGTAGCAGTAAACTAGCTCATTAGATCACCACATTCTGTGTACTAAGGCACACTTATGCTGGAGTTTGGGTACTTCTTGTTGTATGCATTTATCTTGAGCTTGAGCAGCATCTTCTTACCAATAATATTATCTAATTGATCAAGGAAATCATATGAACGTCGTTCCTATCAAGACATCAAGAATAAATGGTCAACATTAAATTTTATTTTAATTTAAAAAAATTAAACTGATCTGTATTTTAAAAATACAACCTTAGGAAGGATGACCTTCAATTCGGCTGCAGACTTCTCTAGCAACTGTAAAGCTAACTGGTCCCAAAATACAACAAAAGTTTTCCCTGTGTGGTCTACCATAGTGTAGTTGACCTTCAACCTAATAAATTCAACTTAACAGATTACTTTTATGATCACAAAATATCAATATCTTCTCTAAACATGCAGTAATTGTCATAATTTATTCTTAAACTAATATTTTATTCTAATAGAAATGAGAATTTAATTTATAAAGTCTAAGTCAAACTAATCAAAAAATGATGTATAAATAATCTAAGAAATTGAAGTTCTATGTTAAAGTGGTTGGATTTTCATTACTTAGATTCAACTGAATCAGGTTTCTTCTTACAGGTAGGGCAATACAGTGCTCCATTCTTCTTGGTGGTCTTTGTAGCACATTTGGAACAACCATCATAATTCCACCTATGATGTGTGCCTAGCCTCACAATAACACTATTAATTATGAAGCTGGAGTTCTGTAAGGGGAGAATTGTTAGTAGGATTGTTGATTTTATAAAAATAAAATATCGTTCTTCATACTTTAGTAATTACTTACAACTTCTTGATCTGGAATCTAGGAAATGTCTATTTTCTCAGTGTTATGCATCATGTTTAATGCAGATGATTGACTAGAACTAGGTGTAAAGGGCTAAGTCCCAACATTTAGGATTGGGGATGTATGGTCTTTTGCACTACAAATCATTACTGTATTAAAGTAAGAGAAAGGTTAAGTTTAGAAATTTAAATTTAAAAAGTATTTTAATGCCATAAATAATGATAGGTTAAAACAAAAGAAAAAAAAGGAAATGAAACATTCACTTGCGAATAAGATCTTTCATTTCTTTAATTGGTGGATTGTATAATACTCTGGTAGCATTAAAAGAGCTACAGATTTGTGGTTGTCCGAATTGTGATTATGAAACAAAAATCAATATCTACTAGTACAAAATATGAAAATTACGGGGTATTTTTTACATCAATTGGAAGGCAAACGGTGTAAAATATTAAGGTGGTGTCATTTTTATAATTATGTTAAAGTATTTAACACTTTTTACACTGATGGAGGTCCACTCGATGTAAAAAGTCTACTTTTTACACCGGGTATACTCACCTGGTGTAAAAAGTTACACCGGGTGGATTGATTTTTTACAATGGGTGGACCTTCAGCTGGTGTAAAAAGTTGAGTTTTTACACCGAACAAAACCTCTGCCTAGTGTAAAAAGTAGACTTTTACATCGAGTGGACTAAGTTTTTACAATGGGTGGACCTCTACCCTGTGTAAAAAGTTGAGTTTTTACACCGGATAAACCTTCATCCAATATAAAAAGTGAACTTTTTAGATTTTCTACACTAGGTGGCCCTTCACCTGGTATAGAAAATTTTTTAAATTACCATCCTTTTCTTTCCATTGTCTCCTTCCCCTTCATTTGCTTTACTCCGACCACCTTTCTCTTATTTCCTCCCCTTCCTCCTTCTCCCCTTTATCGCCTGCCCTCCCCCTCCTCCCTCTTGCCACTCACTGCTCCCTCCTCCTCCGTCTCCCCCTCACAAGCCTCCTTTACCTGCCCACTCCCCCTCCCTCTCCCCCTCGTTAACCCCTTCCCCCTCCGTCTCCCCCTCTCCCTCTTCCTACCTCTCCCCCTCTGCTCCCCCTCCCCCTCCTCACTACCTTTGCCCTGCCACTACTCCTTGTCCCCTCCTTACTCTCTTAGTGCTGAATCGTTGCTGTAACTACCGCCACCCAAGTATGTCTTAAATATGAATTTTTAGATTTTATAATGCTTAAATTTAGGTTTTAATAGTATCGATTGTTGTTGGGAGTGCTGTTAGTGGCTTTATAAGGCCTCAGGTTGTTGCATGTGATCATTTATTTGGTTTAAAATTGTTAATTTTCTCATGTAAAATTTTCTAAAACTTTTAGGAAGTCCAATTTTTAGGGAAGACTTTGTCAAAAAAAAAATTTTAAATTCATTCTTTCCTCTAAATTGTATAAATTTAGTTTTTAATGATATTGATTGTTGCCGGGAGTGCTGTTAGTGGCTTCATAAGGCCTCAGGTTGTTGCATGTGATCATTTATTTGGTTTAAAATTGTCAATTTTCTCTTGTAAATTTTTTTTAAAAGTCTTGGGAGATCTAATTTTCAGAGCAGACTCTGCTGAATTTTTTTCAAATCTAAAGTTAATTAGGAATTTAGTTTCTTGAAATAGTTTAAAGGTAATAACATTAGTTATATTCTTTAGAAGGTGACACATGGATCGTAGTTGGATGGATGCTAGACGAACAAGTGACGAGTATGATAATTGGGTGAAAGAATTTTTGGAATTTGCTAAGAAAAATGCTGTTGACAATAGTGAAAGGTTCTATTGTCCTGTGTTAATTGTTTGAATGAGAGAAGACTAGGTGTTGTCGAAATAAGAGAGCAATTAGTTTGTGATAGGATTTGCAAAAATTATACGATATAGATTTTGCATGGTGAATGATTGGAAAATTATAGTAACACATCTCAATATGTGGAAATTGATAATCTTGATGATGAAGTAAAAATAAATGAAGATCATTTATAGGACATGATCCGTGATATTGAGGAAGAGGCTTTTGAACGAGCACATGTGTATGATAACTTGCGCACTGATGTAGAGAAGCCTCTATACCCGGGGTGCACTAATTTTAGTTTGTTATCTAGGGTGTTAAAATTGGTTACCTTAAAGGCAAGAGTTGGGTGGAGTGACCAAAGTTTGATATGGTTGCTAGAGTTACTTCAAATGATATTTTTGAAAGGCAATGTATTAGCAAATCATTATTATGATGCTAAGAAGATATTATGTCCAATAGGTATGAAGTATAAAAAAATACACACATGTCCTAATGATTGTGTGTTGTACAGAAAAGAGCTTGAAGGGGAGGGAAAGTGTCCAAAATATGAGGCACCATAATACAAAGAGAAGGGGGCTCCTACAAAGGTCTTATGGTATCTTCCAATTATACTAAGGTTCAAGCATTTGTTTGCAAATACTAATTATGCGAAGAACTTGATGTGGCATGCAAATGAGAGGATATTTGATGGAAAACTTCGACATCCAATTGATTCTCCTTAATGGAAGAAAATTGATCAATTGTTTCCTGAATTTGGCAATGAGCCAAGGAACTTGAGGCTCAGACTTTCTATTGATGGAATGAATCCTTATAGTAGTCTCAGTAGTATACATAGTTCATAGCCTATTCTTTTAGTGATTTACAATCTATCACCTAGGTTGTGCATGAAACAGAAGTACATGATGCTATCCATGTTGATTTCGAAACCAAAACAACCTAGAAATGATATTGATATTTACTTAAGAACTCTGATTGAAGATTTGAAAGTTTTGTTGGAGGTAGGTATGGAAGTGTTTGATGCAAATTAGAAGGAGAATTTTAAGTTACATGCTATGATCTTTTGTACTATAAATGATTTTCCTGCATATGGAAATTTGTCTAGTTATAGTGTGAAAGGTCATAAAGCTTGTCCAATTTGTGAAAAAGCACAAACTACCATCAATTTCAACATGGAAGGAGACAGTGTACCTTGGCTATCGGAGGTTTCTTAGATGAGATCACCCATATCGTAAATTGAAGAAAGCTTTTTATGGTCACCAAGAACACAATGATGCTCCGGATGCTTTGACTAAGGATCAAGTATATGAATGTGTGAAAAATATTAATATTGTCTTTGGTAAGACTAAAAAGAATACTAGTGCGAAAAGCATATGGAAAAAAAGGTGTATCTTTTTTGACCTCCCATATTAGTGCAATCTTGAAGTAAGGCATTGTCTTGATGTTATGCATATAGAGAAAAACGTGTGTGATAGTATTATTGGAACGCTTCTGAACATACTAGGTAAGACTAAGGATGGTATGAATGCAAGATTGAATTTGAAAGAAATGAGAATACGGAAAGATTTACACCCAAGACCAGAAGGTAAACAAACTTATTGTCCCCCAGCCTCTCATACATTATACAAATCTGAGAAAACAAGTTTTTGTGAGTGTACATGGAATCAAAGTTCCTTTGAGGTATTCTTCAAATATTATGAAGCTTGTGTCTGTGACAGAGTTGAAACTAGTAGGCTTAAAATCTCATAGTTGCCATGTCTTGATGTAATAGCTATTACCTTTGGCTATTTGAGGCATATTGAAAGAAGATTTAAAACTTACAATAACTAGACTTTGTTTCTTTTTTAATGCTATATACAGTAAAGTTACTGATCCCCATAAACTGGAAGAATTAAAACAAGAAGCTTGTACTATTTTGTGCCAACTTAAGATGCACTTTTTTCTCATATTTTTTGACATTATGGTTCACTTAATAGTGCATCTAGTAAGGGAGGCAAAATTGTGTGGTCCTCTTTATTTACGATGAATGTACCCAGTTAAGAGATACATGAAAATATTGAAAGGGTATGTTAGGAATCTATATCAACCTAAAGCATCGATAGTTGAGAAATATATTGCTGAAAAATATATGGAGCTTTGTTGTGATTAATTGTCAAGTACAGAATCAATTAGACTTCCTAAATCTCGTCATGAGAAAAGGCAATATGGTCAAGGCATATATGGAGTATCAGTGAAGAGCATGAATCATGATGAATTACAAGAAGTACATTTATATATCTTGAATAATATTGATAAAGTTAAAGATTACATACCTTTTCATAAAGAACTTCTAAAGGCAAAAAATTATCGAATGAGAATGATTAAACAAAAGTTATTAAAAGAGCATAATAAGACTTTTGTAGATTGGTTCAAGCAGAAAATTTTGAATGAAAGTGGTGTTTCTGATACAGTTATATGGTTGGCTGGAGGTCCTAACTTTGATGTTATATGTTAGAGTTCCTATGATATTAATGGGTATTCCTTTTATATAAAGTCCTTGGATAAGAAGAGTACGGTGCAAAATAGTGGAGTTATGATAATGGCTGAAGCTGCACACTTCTCTAGTTCAAAAGATAAGAAACCTAAACTAGCATCCAGGACTTATTTTGGGGTTATTGAAGAGATTTAGGAGGTTGATTATATAAAATTTAGAGTTCCTGTTTTCAAATGCAAGTGGGTTGACATCAAAAACATTCGTGATGATAAGTTAGGATTTACAATGGTTGATCTTAAAAAACTAACTTTTAGAGATGAGCCATTTATTATGGCAAATCAAGCTAAACAAGTTTTTTATATCATGGATCCAGCAAATAAAAATTGGTCAATAGCACTTAAAGGAAAAATGATGATTAATAGTGATGATGATCATGAATCAAATTTTGATATTTCTGAAACTCCTAACTTCTCAAGTGGGCTACCAATTTTGGATGTGGTAGATGAAGTAGATGATGAACATGCTATAAGAAGTAATCACTATGAAGGGATATAGGAGAATATCTCTATATGAGTTTAGTTTTGAAATAAAAGCATATTAATTTAGTTCAATTAAATTTACATGATGGGATTGTTTTTCTTAATTATTATATCTTTGATTATTTTTTTAATTAATTTTATTTGTTTGAATTAAAAAGAATATGGAGAATCAAGGTGATAACACTCAAAGCTAGCTTACTATAAGCCAATCAATTGGTGATGTTGCTCCTAGTAAGGAGCCAAGTCAAGGCACCTAATAGTGAGGAGCCAAGTCAGAGCTAATCTGTGAGGAGGGGGAGACATGGCACACGATTGAGAGATCTGACTTTAAATAGGAGTGCTGGGCGTAAGTTACCAATTCAATTTAACCAGAGATGGAATCCGATAGGGCCGCAAAAAGCTAAGTTTCTTAGTTTTCTTGGCCTTCTATCACGTACCAAGCCTCTATTGTGTTTGGGGACGTGAAGGAACAGATTTGGGAAAGTATTCAAGTAAATAATTAAAAATTAAAATTTTTTATGGTTATATATTATTGGGCAATTATTGATTATTATTTTATGTCTTCATTGTAGCTCACATACGATATTCCATTTAATCAAGATCGTCAACACAAGTTGATTTCTTATTGTAAAACATGTTGGAGAAATTTTAAGACTGATCTTGCTAGAAGATATATCTTTGTCGAGGTGCCAGAGGGTCAGGCTCGTCCCAATCCTCTTGATACATACCAATTCCTTGATGAAGATACTTGGGAAGAATTTATCAGGATTTAGACTTTTGAAAAAGCTTTGGTCTGTTGATTTTTAATTGATTTAAGTTTTATTTAGATTTACTTCAACTACAAAATCTAAAATTTAATTTATTAATAAGAAAAACAAGCTAAAGGGCAGGAAATTGCTTAGCAGAATCAATACCCCCATACCCTATCTTATGGAGGTTATGCTAGAGCTGATGATATATTAATGGTAGAGAAACAGAAGAAGAGAGAAGAAGAAGCTAAGTCTGATCCTTCTATACTCCTTTCTCCACCATCACCTGTCTCTCAAAAGGAGAAATGGAGATATGGACATCACTACAAGAAAGGAAGCTATACTAGTGAGACAGCATGGGAGATTGTTGAGAGGATTGTAAGTAAAATTATTATTCCTTTTCCCTTTAAATTTCTATACAATTGTATATATTATTAATTAATATTGTTATTTTTATATTACAGGATACTCTTAAGGAGCAACAAGCCCAAGAAAGCTTCATTTCAAAAAGCAAAAATGATATCTTAGCGGTTGCTATAAGCAAACCAAAGCATCTAGGTCGTGTGAGGGGCGTTGGATATGGTGTGGGCATTAAGGATTGCTTTAGAGCACCTGTATATCCCAATTCAGGAGGTGTAGTGACTATAGAAGAGCTTGATACATTGATATCCACTGTGAGGTAGCAGACTAAGGATGAGTTTGAAGCTTCATTTGCAGTTCGACTTCTACAAATGAAAGAAAAAATGAAGGAGGAGATGATGAGCATGATGAGCTCACGACAGGAGACAACTGCTGAACCAATTCATACATCTCCTACATTTCATAGTACAAAAGGGAGTAATGTTCTCGAGTGTGTGTTAGAGGGTCCTTCTGGTGACAACATTGGTGAACTGTGTGAGATATTTCTGGAAGATCATGATAAACACTTGGTTGCTCTTGGTAGCATCTATAGCTTGGGGTCAACTATCCACCACAAGCAAATTCAAGATGATCAAGTAAGAGTGGTGGTTGCAAATCCAAAAGTGACAAATGCTTTGGTTCTATTCCCTACTGATGAGGTGAAGACTGTGGTTGAAGCTGTTGGCAATTTTATTCTATGGCCCAAGAGACTTGTGAATCTGGTTCAAGCTATGGTACGAAATTTCATGAATTTTTATTATATAGCAACTTCCTAATATATGTTTTTTATTAGCTATTTCTTGCCTTTTTATTATGTAGAAGCTTTCCTTACCGAATCTCCCAAAACTTTCACAACCCTTGTTGACTCCGCATCAGCGAATGATCTTAATGGCATATGATTCATCATTCAAATTCAAGAGTTTAGAAATGGATCCGGAGGTTGTGTGTAAGAAAGACATTATAGTGACAATTGAACGGGAAGATTTAGTTCGACTTCTGTTGAATAATGAGCTTACCACACCACACATTGAACTATTTATGATGTAAGTATGTTTTTCTTTAATATAATTGCATTGTTGTAAGTAAACTTAATCATCAAGTTTAGTAAACTAATATAATTGCATTATTGTAGGTATCTTCATCATTTGTGCACTACATCAAGAAAAGGTGATAAGTTTGGATTCTTTTGCCCTTATCACATGACAGAAAAAGGTAATACTCCAGAGTTAAGGGCCGAGTACCTCCAATAGAGAATATGTGAAGTCAAAAGGGACGTTTTTATGGCTCAATATGTACACTCGTAAGGATCAATTTATAATTAATAGTTTTTTCAATATGGATTTACTTTAACTTGTATCATATTTAACAGGGACCATTGGCAGTTATTTGTTCTTTCAATGAAGAGCAACATTATTGTCTTTTTATGCTCCCTCCATTACAAGCTTAGGAAAGAAATGAAGAAGACGATAGACTTGTAAGAACACTTTTACTAAACTATTTAATTTATTTTTTTTTTGAATATATTATTTACTAACTTTGTGATCTTGATCATAGGGCAATGAGAACATATCAAAATATAGTCTTACAAAGGCATGGACATGAGCTTAAGGATCCCACATAGGTTGAGCCAAAGGTGATGCAATACTTTATTAATATGTCCAATTATTAAGATTTCTTACTAATTTCTTATGATTTGTTCTTATACAGAGTCATAGATAACCAGTAAGGATGAACTTGTGCGGTCTATATGTCATGAGACACATGCTTAATATCATCACATTGGGCATGACCGAATTTACAAAAAGAGGTAAATATATTTTTAAAAGTTTTATTTTATTATGTTATTTGAGATTGATTAATATGCCTATTTTGTGAATCAAATTTTAGATGTTCGATAATTCGGATGCATTTTGTAAAGTTGAAATTGAAGACATCCGCATACGTTAGGCAATCTATTTTGTGGAGAACTTATGAGGTTTTTTATTAGTTTTAGACAAGTTTTAATTTTGATAGTTGACATAATTTAGACAATTGTTAGCTTTTTTAATAGTTAAATAGTTTTGTATAGTTGATAAATATTTGATAAACAATTATAAATGAATTAAGCTGTCTGATTTGGCAATTTTTATGCACAGGAATGGCAATTTTGACAATTTAAACAATTGTTATTTTTTTAATAGTTAAAAAGTTTTGTATAGTTAATAAATACTTGATAAACAATTGTAAACAAATTGAGCTGTCTAATTTGGCAATTTTTATGCATAGGAATGGGTAAAATCAATAAAATAAATACAGTATAAAAAAATTAAATACTTTTTGCACCGATTATTACCATAACCACTATAGAATATAATATTTTTTACATTAGTTATGGAAATAACCAGTGGAAAAAGTCCACTTTTAATATCAGTTGGAAGTCCAACCAATGTTTTCACTTTTAACATCGGTTGGCAGTCAAGTTCTTACAACGATTGGCAGTCCAACCGATGTTAAACGTTAAAGTAAATTTTTTCTATTTTCTTGTACATAATTTTCAACATCGGGTTTATAATCGATGTAGAAACATGGACTTTCTACACTTGCTAGAACATCATTGCCTCTTTAACCGCTGTAAAAAGTCATTTTTAACTGCTGTAAAAAGTTATTTTTGTATTAGTGATCCTTTATTACAAACAGGAAATAATCATGAAGCACTTAATTATTCACTAACTATGCACAATTTCGTTTAAAATTTCACAAACTTGATTCACACCTTTCATTAGCCTTTAACAAATCAATGATGTAAAAAAATAAAATAAAAAACATGACGTGCCTTCCTCTGAAAAACCAACTCTATAGTAATTGACAATCACCACAAGCACAATGTCCATGTTTTCCAACTGGCCTATGAAAGCATTTAGTTGAGCACTTATCAAATAAAATACACTCTACACCATTGTCACTGTCATAAAAGATTAAAATAATCACCCTCTCAAGAATATTTAAATTAAATTTACATAAATAATAAAATTGTAGACAAATTTTGATATTTAAAGGGTTGAAATGGATACTCTTTATCAGTAATGACCATGTGCAATTTGTGCTTTGTTTCATTATCCTTGCAATATTCTTCAAGTTGTTCCATGCATTTAACAAATCCATATACATCTGAATGGGCAAGAAAGACTCATATTGCACATTAATTTGCAAAGAAAGAAGATCAACAAAAGTTTCTTGAAAATATTAATCATACTAACTAATAAGATGTGGTACACTATTACTCTCATCGACCTTCATTATGTCAACTATTGGGAAAAAGGAATAGCAGTGCACATAGATGTTTAAAGCTTGTCCCATTATGTAGGTTTGTTGTCTGAAGTTGATCTTGAAAGGATGAGTGGTGGCTCTGTACATATTGGTATTTGTTGAAAGGACAAAGTTAGCAATGAAATATGTTTCCCTTTCAATTGGTGTTTCCCTATATTGATCAAGCAAGCTCTTAACTAGAACTCTTGCTCGAATCTTGTGACCCTGAGAGAAATATAAGATGATCTTAGCACTAATATATAGACGTTAATGAAGGGATGATTCAATAATACTTGTAAATAAACATACCTCTTTGTCAACCAAGACCATTGTAATACAGAACACTTCATTTGGTAATGTTTTGTGATATACATTCCATTTTCTATCCGCACGAACTAAGATCCTCCATCTGTTAGTACTGTCATTGAGTTCACTGATAGATGACACACGAGACATTATGTTATTAGTCTTAGTTTAGCTTAAGCAAAATAAATTACTAAATGGAATTGAAGATGCGTGGTCTAGCTACATGCAGCATGCGTATATATATATTCAAATTTAAGATAGGAAAACTTGCTAATAATAATATATGCATGTATAAAGACATATCTACATATATGAGCTATAATTTTAGAGCTAGATAGATCTTAATTGGATTGATTTATGTTAAGGAAATTATTAAGGAAAGTTGGAAGAGGCTAACTTTGATATTCTGATTGAATATTGGTATTAATGAGATGGTTGTTGGAATGTTTGGAATAATCTTAAAGCATGAATTTTGGTTTTGAATTTTAAATGATAGTGGTTGATGAAAATTTTATTAGGAGTGGAAGGAAGTCTTTGTAAATCAAAGTATGATTTATTAAATTTTATTTACTAATATCTTATAGGATGTGTGAAAGAAGAGGATCCCAATAGAAATTGAAGAAAAAATTTTGGGAATTCAAAACTTCCACAAGTAAGTGAATAGCATTCCCTTTAATTTATTTTATTGGTATTTTTATTTTTAATAAATTTTCGTTGAGATATTTTATTCATGTGAATTACATTAGTTTTGAAACTTGTGATATCGATGCGCGGTGTTTAAAGGAGGGTATATGCATTTATTTCCTCAAGGAATATGTTTCAAAGAGTTATGGAATTATTTGGTTTATTAAACTCTTGAAATCCTTGATTATTTAGATAACACAAGTTCATATATTATTTTATGAAAGACTATTTTCAACAGGTCTTAAATTAAAATTTAAAGTGATGCGTGTGAGTTTGGTATTGGAAACACAGATTATATTTCAAAAATAATTATTTTTCTCGCATGTTTGAAACACGATTTTTGAGAGGACTTAAACAGAACACTGCTGCTAACGGCAGTTTCGTTAGCCCATAGCGCGCTGTAGTTAAACACTAGCTAGTTTGTTTCGTGAGTTTTATTCTCACGTTTGATATTCGTGGACTTCGTACCCGCGTTTGATTCCGTGGCTTGAGCCACGTTTGGTTACTTATCCTCATGGACTGTGTGTCCACGTTTGTTTCATAGTTACGGCTGCGTTTGGTTACTTACCCTCATGAACTGGTGTGTCCACGTTTGTTTTCGTGGCATAAGCCACGTTTGGTTATTTACCCTCGTGGACTGAGTGTCCATGTTTGTAACCTATTCTGTTGAATTCTCAAAATTTTAAATGTTGATTAATATGTGTTTTCAAAATTTACTTGATTTTGACCAATAAATTGTATCACTTTGAGTTATATGAGAGCAGATTTTTTTTTAAGCATGATAACATAAATTGTTTTTAATTTACTCTTATTTTATAAATATGGTTATGACTTACATGTTTATAAATTTTGGTAGAATTGCTTTTAACTAGCCGACACCATTATTAGAGGATTGTACGCCATATGATACAAGACAGCTGAAATTTAAATGCATATGCTCTTGTAAAAGGGATTACAACATTTGTTATAACCTATCATATAAAGTGTTTATTCATATATTGACGAAGTTATGCCATTGGCTCTATGTAAATTGGTACCTATTCTATAGAAAACATAGTCTTAAGTAGTAAATAGGACATATTATTATATTACTGGCCAAGGTAATACATATAAATAAAACTCAAACATGATAAGGATGGGTAAATGATATATGATGCAAGAACGTACGCCATATGATGCAAAGCAGCTGAAATTTAAATGCATATGCACATGCAAAAAGGATTACAACATTTGTCATGACCAATTATATCAAGTGTTTATTCATAAATTGAAGAAGTCATATTGTTTGTTTTTTTTTATTTGGCACCCATTTTGCAGCTGAAATAACCTAAATCACAAGCCTGTAGAGTTAATTTAATTAATATCCTAGACAAACACATGATAACTAATACAATATGTAACACTGCCATATCATTAGTGATAACATGTTGCTAATTAGGATGGCTACACAAATAAATCGATCATCTTTGATGATCATTTACAAAATAAATCTGATGCAAATTATAATTATAGATAAATGTGCAGTAAACTTATTAAATGTATGTAGAACCAATGAGCAACTGTATAAATCTCGAATAGTGAATTGGTAATAGTCAAGCCATTGGCTAAAGTACTGATCATCTACTCTCAATATATAATATGGCCTATACCATGTAATAAAATTACAATACTTATTGGAGCACTGCGTTGGTCTAAACCATACAAAACACCTAAACAACAAAAAGATAAAAGATGAAAAACATAAAAGAAGTAAACACTAACAATAACCTACATAGGTCCTGACCAAAAATAAAATTCTCTTCACATAGCTAAGTCACTGCCAACAAGGTCAGGGTATAGAGGGTCGGTATACCAATAGACTTTGGTAGCATTCTTGAACTCTTCCAGACAATTGCTCCTTGGAAAATAATAAACACTATCATTATGACAAACACAAGCAAATAATGTAATAAAACTTTGTGCAATCAAAGGGATATAAGAGGATAATCATATTACTGGGACCTTTAAACAAAATAGCATATTGGATAACTACATAAAGTGGGCCCTCATGATCCTTGCATGCTCGATATGTTGTCCATGTATCCACTGCACAATCTCCTTTTAAGACACAAGGAATCATGTCTTGCCTATCTCAGGCATGAGGTGGAATAAAATCATTAAGCATAAAATACAATTATTGTTTGTGAAATTTATTGTGGTAAATAAATGAATAAGCAAAATTATGATTATCAATTAATTTTTGCAAAAGAAACCAAAGAGGGTACAGGACTTAAGCCAAAGTAATAAACTTCATTGTAAAAAGACATGATAACATCTATAAGAAAAGTATGCCTATATTAAAGGAAAATCAACTGTGAAGCAAAACATGGCATGCTTTATATCATATAAGGTTCATTAATGTACCAAAACTTGCTATATATAGCGAAAGTTCTAGATAAATCCTTACTAATGATGATACCAAGCTATAAATACTTATGTTAATAATTTCTTAATTCTTAAAATGTTAGGCGATAGTAAATATTAAATATTAATTCTAACTAATATATATCTTACTATATATCTTGCAAAACTATCTATAGCTTCCTTGTCAATAGCCCACCATGGTCTTCGACGTTCTCCTGTTCAAGGTCTCCAACATGCACACAAAGACCAGCAACATCTATGACAGGAATTAATTAGTGTGATATGACCACTAATGACAATATGACATAAAACATACTAACATGATAGGAATGGAAAATTACTCACCAATTAGATGGCAAGAGGGGAAATTACTTGCCTTAAGGTCCTAAACTAAACAGAGCTTGAAGTTGTGGCTAAGGAAATTAGAGGAGTGTTCATGTATTTTATAACACGACAACAATATAATGTGATACTTCCGATGAACAGGTTGACCTCCACGATTTACTTCTAGATTTATGATGTCATAACTTTTATCAACTTTAAATCAGTTCCTAAACTGAGCCATCATCTCAAGGCCTGTAATCAACACTTCCATTGGAGTACCAGTAAGATATTTTAATGAGAGAAAGAAAAGTTTAAATGTATAATAGATCTAAGAGAATAAAAGTATAAAAGGTTAAAGTAAAAATACCTGAGCATCGAATACCGTGAGGTTGATGGACCGTGCACGCTTAGGGTAACTGAGATCAAGCTCATAAACTTTGTCACCAACACAAGGATAAATATGGTCTACCTTCACAAGTATACACCAACTAATCTTAGTTTGATCAAGACTATTGAGCATATCGTAATGGTGTATGTCTAAATCCATGGGGTTAGATGAAGCCATATTAAGATGGAATCAGAAAACTGCAGAGATGGCTGAAGAACCTGATAGTGGAGACGATATAGGTGAATAGAGGTAAAGATCCAAGAGGAGCAGACTGTAGTGGCTTCTAAGACAAACAATTTGGAGTAGTAATTGGTAGGTTTGAAGTGAATGGCGTGCTAGGGTGGAAGGAAAGTAGGAAATTTACTGGGAGCTATTTCCAAAGAAAATAAGTGAACAGTGATGCAAGGCACAGACAGTGGATACCATTCCATCTCGGTAGGGTTTTTGAGAGAGAGGGAAATTTCATGGTGGTTGAATAAGACCTATTGACGGATTTACTTGTCACCAGTCTTGAAAATCGAGAAAAATAAGTTTTTTTTTTGGAGGAAGGAAGCAAAAGCATTGTCACTAGGTCAAAGAGCTAGGAAACAGCTTTAATAATGATTTCTTCTTTTGTTCAGGGGCAATTATGACTAACCATCACATAAAGGTGCACCTTTCCAAGATTTATGAAATCACTTTTTGTCCTCTAGCATTGAACTATGAAAAACCAAAGAGGCCCTTAACCTCCTTCATATTCTTCAAGACACATGAAGGAGCCTTATTTTTCATGTCTTTAAAATGCCAATATTACCCTAAGTTACTGTTCACAAGAACTCACTTGGGGAATAGATTTCTATAATATATTGATTATTATTATTATTATTATTATTATTATTATTACTATTATTATTATTATTGGTTTGTGGTGTCTTAGTGACAAATGGTTAAAAAATAGACGTTATATAATATTTTTGCGTCACAATTTTTTTTTTTGGTCTAGAAGCATCTGGCATCATTTTGTAGTGTAATGTCTCCTTTCAATAGTTAAAAATAGTGTAATTTTGCCTTTACCATTAAATATGTTAAGTTTGACCATTGGTTGACTGATAAAATTATTAAAAAAAGACATTAAAAATTATATTAAAAGACCCTATCATGAAATAAATATCAATTAAGTCCCTTAAGTTACAAAAAAATTCAAGAGACTAATGTTATTTCTTACCCATATAAAAGACCACAGTACCATGCCAACCATAATACCAGCAAAATTTATTAAATATTAAAGCATTATTATTTTATAAAAATGATAAAAATATATATATTTTAATTAATTATTGGTTTTGTTGCCAACAATGATGACCCGATGATC